TGGGGAGGGTTAAAGGGGATGGGGAGGGTTAAAGGGGATTGGAGAGGGTTAATGAGGGCTGGGCAGGGCCAAAGGGGCTGGGGAGGGCTAAAGGGTTAAAGCGGCTCCAGCTCCGGGCCGGACCCCCCCGCAGCGGGGCGGGGCCATCGCCGCTCTGACATCACGGTCCCGCCGCGCCGAGCACCGGCGGAGCTGCGGGCAGCGCTCCCCGGAGCCAGCGGGGCACGGCCCACGCCCCGCACCCCCAGCCCAGAGCCCGCACCCCAAATCCCGCAGCCCGTCCTCCTCCTCCTGCCGTGGGTTGTCCCGCTCGCCCGCCGCGCCAGCCGCATGCCCGTGCCCGAGGTAAGAGCGGAGCTGCCCCGCACTGCCCGCAAGGTGCCGCGCAGCCCGGCCCTTCCCCGCTGCCGGCCCTTCCCCGCTCCCGGCCCAGCCTGCTGCTTCTCCCCGCTCCGATTGCGGGGATTCGATCGCCGCCGAGCCCCTCCCGCGCCCGCGGCYGCTCCGGCCCCGCAGCTCTGCTGCAGTTTTAACCCTTGGAGGGGGCGGCCGCGCSGGGCGAGCACTCCCGGGGGTGGGGATGGACACCCCACGATCCCGGCCCGAGGATCCCTGTGACCCCGAACTGAGCATCCCCCGGACCGCGCATCCCCCGAACCGAGTATCGCCCCCGGGCCGCGCATCCTTCCCGGGCCGCGGGTCCGCCCCCGAAGCGGGCATCGCCCCCGAAGCGGGCATCGCCCCCGAAGCGGGCATCGCCCCCGAACCGGGCATTCCCCGAACCGAGCATTCCCCGAACCGGCCATCCCACAAACCGACCATCGCCCCCGGGCCGCGGATCCACCGCCTCTGAACCGCGGGTCCCTCCCAAACCGCGCATCTCTCGGGCCACGCATCGGCCCCGAACCGAGCATCGGCCCCAAACCACGCATTCCCCAAACCGAGCATCCTTCCCSAACCTCGCACCGCTCGAATCGACATCCCCAAAACGAGCATCACCCCCGAACCGTGCATGCCCCGAACCGCGGGTCCCCCCCGAACCGCGCATCCCTCCCGGGCCGCGGGTCCATCGCCCCCCGGAGGTCGCGCATCCCTCCCGGCCCGCGCATCCCCCGGGACCCCCCTAAGCCGCTTTCCAGCCGGCAGATGCT